CAGAAGTGGTTTGCCATTGTCTGTCTCTGAATATAGCCTACCACGGTGCTATTAAAATTACAGTTCCTTGAGCCAATGGCTGCTTGTCCATGGTGAGTTTCCAGGAAAGAAAAAAACATATGTAGCCAATGGACATAAATATGGTACTGGTCCTGGCACATTGCGAAAAATAATTGTCAGTCTCTCACATCACATAGCCCGAGGATCGTGGCCTAAAGCATCTGGTATTCCTTGGCAGTTTCTCTTCCAAATTCTTATAAGGCCTGACTCTACTTGGCTTTCAAGATCCGATGAGACTTGGTGTCATTAGGGTATTTAGACATGATTCACAAATAGTCTCCCGTTGTTAGAGGTGAGACAAAATTTTGAATGGATTTCAAATGATCAAACATCAGTGGTCTGTTTTGGTAATCTCCACTTTAAGATTACTGCAGGGCATTACATATGGGCTGCTTTTGAAGAAACTGAAACTGCTGCACAGTTCAGTGGCCAGGCTATTGACTGAGCTGAACTATTTTCAACTTTATAAGTCTTGTCATAATTCATTTGCACTGGATGCCAGTTTGTTTGGGGGCCAAATCAGCTGATTTTTTAATTTGTAGAGTGCTGAATGGCTCAGGGCTACAACGCTTCAAGGATTGCCTCTTTCCATATGAATTTACCAAAACCCTGAGGTCAGAATCCAAGGCCATTCTTTATCTGCTTACTCTGAGAGAAACTTTGAATATAAGAGTTTGGGAACTGAGTCCTTTCTATGGTTGTCTTGTGCTTATGGAATGCTTTCCCCAAAGAGCCTTGCCTGACACACTTGGATTGTAGTTACAGTTTAATTTTTTTTGTTTTTGTGGTGATGACTTTGACCCAGCAGTGGGCAACATGGTGACCACAGCTCCCCCAGACTGCACTACAAAAAATTGGCAATAACCCCTTTTTAAAACAAGTATTTCGTGATTGTTTTAAGGAGTTTCTCCAATTTGCTGTAATGAATTGCTGTTGTGGAGTGTTCTGGCAGGGGTGCAGCTCACAGATAGTTGTGATGCAATGACATTGATCCCTAGAGCTCTAAGCCCACTGGAAAATGGGTCATCTGAGGTTAAATAGGGTAGAACCAAAGAAAGGAAATGGAATTATGCATGCATGCATGACACAGCACCCATCCTAATAGCTATGAAAACTATATGAGGGGGTATCGTAAAGTTTTAATTATCACATTTTTAAAAATTGTCAGAAAATTTGTTTTGATTTGTAGTTAACTTATTTCTACGTAGTCACCATTCAGATGTACACATTTTCCACAGTTTTTCTTGACCCACCGAATACCGTTATTGTAGAAGCCTGCAGATTTCAAGAATTTTACACTTTAGTCACTTCTGGCACAACCTGTCACAAAATAAAAGGGCATGGTCAATTTAGTTTCTCAACATTATGCACTTATGGACCAATGGTGACACTGACAAAATTTCATTCATATACCATCATAACTTTGGGTGATAATTATTACTTTACTATACTGCCTCGTAAGGCTCAACCTGCAGACTTCTACAATATCAGGTATTCAGAGGGTCAAGAAACACTGGGAAAAATGTGTAAATCTGGATGGTGACTACGTAGAAATAAGTTAACAACTACAAATCAAAACAAACTTTCTGTCAACATTTTTTAAAGGTGATAATTAAAGCTTTACAAGTTGCTAAAAGTAAAGTTTATTCCCCTGATCTGTTTCCAGCTGTGAATCTTTCCCAGCTTTTAACTGCCAGGCCAAAGTGAAATGATTTCTCAGGATCTATTAAATAAAAAATAACCATTTCAGTTCCACTGGACAGCTGTTGATGTTTGGCCATGATGCTAATAAGGACTCTAGGACTGTGTGAAGGCATGCCTGCCCTTGAGAAGTCATATCAGAGAAATAAGACAAGAGACCTATGTAATCAGAGATCCAAGGACTGGCCAGACTCCTCCTCTGCTGTGCATGACAGCTCAGATCAGAGTAGGAGAGGGAGTTATCTTCCAACCCTCTAGAGAAACACTGAGATAAGAGGCTATGGCAAATTTCCCCTCTCAGACACAAGTGTTGTTCATTCTAGAAATCCTTGACAATGGCATCTTTCAGCTCCTCTGCAGCCTGTTGTTCAAAGCAATATTGCTTTTGCCCTGAGCTTCATGTCTTTCTGCTCCTGATTCCTGACCTGAACACCTATATCTCCCATATGCTTTGCAACCTTGTTTGTGACTTCACCCTTGGGATCCTCAGGTGCTGACTGGTTATCTGGCATTTAGCCTTGGACTGCTTTCAGCATACACTTTTTGCACCCTATCTCCAGCATTTCAGAACTCCTGGTAATTGCTTCAGCTTTTCTAGACCACCATTTGCTTGCATCCGACTTGGCTGGCCGAGCTCTGAACTGAGAGTCTAAATTTATGTCAAAGCAGGACATGTGAGGAGGTGAAAATTGCCTGCCACCATTGTTTACCCCTGGTTTATTATCTTGTAGTATTTATGGCTTATGGTTATTGATTTCATTTCCTTTGTTATATTGATTGTAATTTTTGTGCTTTTTTAATGTTAATGTTTCCAAGACTGTTTTTGTGATGGAAAGAGGCATAGAGATCTAATTAATTAATTAAATGAAAAAATATGCAATTGTATTTTTTTCTAAAGTAGATGATCTGGACTTCTCACCTTCCTCACAATAGCCCTTGTATTTCTATTTGCCCTAAAGTTGCTATTGGAGGAAATGATAAGGGAAATGAATAGCAGATTTTGGGGACCTTAAGTTTGGGAGGGGGAGGCTCAGGGTGCCTTTCCCTTATGCTATTGTCCTGATTCCACTCTTCCACCATCCTCCATGGCTACTATTTTCTGTCTCATTTCATTTGTTCCTGAGACGGTTAAGAAAAAGTAATAATTTACAAAATTCATTACAGTTGTTCCTCCATTTTTGCAGGGAATGTGTTGTGCAAAAATGAAAAAATGCAAATACTCAAGCCCCATTTGCCCCATTGCTCCTGTGTGCCATTATTTACCTCCTGGCTTCCTGTCCATGGAAATTCAAGACCGCAGACAGGAAGTCCGTGAAATAGGAAGGACAACTGTATTTTATACCCTGTGCCTTTTTAATGCTAAAGTCCAGTTTCTTCAACTGAAAATATAGCCTTTTCTTCCCCAGCAGGAAAACATCTTGGACAAATTTGTCCTGGTAAAGTCTACCTGCACAAATCTTCAAAATCTTGCTATGGCTGTATCTTCACAAAATGCAGTGTTACTTGAAGGACCAGTAGGATGTGGCAAAACATCCCTAGTTGAGTTCTTGGCAGCAGTTACCGGAAGGACAAAGCCACCTCATATTCTCAAAGTTCAACTGGGAGATCAAACTGACAGTAAGGTAATGGAAAACATGTTTCTGCTATGTTATAAAATAAAATAACCAACTCAATGTATAGTGTATACATTTTAAAATTGAGTAATATGGTAGTAATTGCTCAAGGCTGATGTTGGATATTGCAGAAAGCATAGTTTTACTAAAATGAATTATCATTATTGTTGTTGTTGTTGTTGAAAAATATTGCAGTTTTAAATTGATTACAGTCATTTGAAGTTCTGAACTTTCAAACTGCAGAAATGAAAAACATGGGAGTAATTTAGTTCAGATCGTAGTAATAGAACGAAATCTAGGCTTATGGTTGTTCGTTACCAATTAGTCCATTTTCCTCTCAATATGATATAAATTGGAAGCTGTACTATCAAAATACATATAGGGTACTTCTACCTTCTGTTAATTTTTTTCTTTCTAAAGCTAAAACTCATTTAGGAAAGATCTGAGTCATGAGCGCTCACTCGTTAGCATCTGCTTTTATAGTTGATCATGATTAGAAATTCGGGTCATAGGGAATTTTTGAAATGTCTTGTGCTTCTCTTGCACAAAGAAGTTCCAAAATATTTTTTGATTTCTAGCATATCCAGTTTAGAAGAAAATGAGCTGAAATAAGTTGTGCTTCAGAAATATTTCATGTTTTCACAAATATTTTAAGGCAAATGCAAAGTTGTATTTTTTCCCCCTAATTAGATTTCTTTCCTTATTTGATAGACTTTACTGGGCATGTATCGTTGTACAGATGTACCAGGAGAGTTTGTGTGGCAACCAGGGACTTTGACGCAAGCAGTCAGCACAGGCCATTGGATACTCCTAGAGGATATTGATTATGCTCCTCTTGATGTGGTATGTTCCTGTGTTTTGTAGTGGTATTCTGTAAATATCTGGAATCAAAGTCATTGTTAGCTTCACTGGAGGTGTTCCATGATAGCAGTATTAGAAACTGAAAATCCATATCTGCAAGACAGGAATCAGTAATCCTGTTATTTATTATTATGTTGGTCTTTCAGAAGTAATTTTTATTTTTATAGTGTTGAGTTCCCTGTCTTTCATATATCGCATTGCTTTGAAGACATACTAGAACATTCAATAGAACTAATTTCCATGGTGTTCTAGATATCTGGATAGATTTTTCTCCTAATGCTGTGGATAGTTCATCAAGCTACAAGTCTGGAATGTACTGTATCCCTGATGGTTTTGTTGATGCAGTAAGCCTAAACATTTGTTGTTGCTTATTTGGGAAGAGTCCCAAATATTGACATTTGTCAAGACCGATCTCTTGGCAGTGGGAGAAAAAGAGACATCTTAGTGCATCGTAATCCCTTGTGTCCCTTTCCAGATAATTGATGCTACAAAGCTGGCCACTCCTAATTGTCTGTTGTACTGATGGTCCATTAAAAAACCTGTCTGTTCAGTCTTGTATGAAATTTTTTTGTATTATCTTTCAGATGTTGTTGTTGTTGTGTGCCTGCAAGTCGTTTCTGACTTACAGAGACCCTAGGGCAAACCTATCATGGGGTTTTCTGGGGCCAAGAACATGGCAGGGAGTTGGACTGGATGGCCCTTGATGTCTCTTCCAGTTCTGTGATTCTATGAGAGACTTGCCCAAGTTCACCCAGTGGGTTTCCATGGCCGAGCAGGGAATTGAACCCTGATCTCCAGAGTCCTAGTCTAGTGCTCAAAGCATTACATCATGCTGGCTCTTTAATGTAATGTAATTTAATGTAAGATAATACCTTACATTAAATCTCTACAGCACTCCCTGTATGTGTGGGACTCAACCTTCAATTGGGTTTGTGTTTGAAAAGCAGTGAAGCATTAACATTTGGTCATCTTTGGAAAGAAGCCACTAGTTTCCATGTACTATTGGATGTAGTAGGTTGGTGTCAAATCTGTATGATTATGAATGTTAGTATGAGATGGGATCTGTATAGTTCCTTGAGCAAGCAGATAGCATTCTCTTTTGTGCAAAAGGAGTGGGAGGTGTCCATTAGGATTTTCCTGGTACTATGTCAGATGTGGTGCAGGGGGCTCATGTTCTTTGATCCTTGGGAGCAGCTTTGAAAGGAGGATAAAGAAAGCTGCAGAAAGAAAGACTAGGCAGAAATTCCCATTATGTGTTTAAAATTGTCCCTGTGTCTTAAATACTGTACTTTAAGATAATATGCCTGGTTTTTGTTTTTCCCCCCTGTTCTTTAGATTTCTGTGTTAATTCCTCTTTTGGAAAATGGTGAGTTATTGATTCCTGGACGAAGTGATTGTGTGCAAGTGGCTCCTGGATTCCATCTTTTTGCAACAAGAAGGTAGGAAAATATAAAACTTGGATGCTTTTGTGAAGACTATATAAGGAGTTGATGAAGATAGCTTTATAGAAGTATTAAAATTATGTGCATCATTAAGTATGCACACAAATAGTAATGTTACATGAATCAAACTATTTGTGCTTTTGCACAAATGGGCAGGGTAAGGAATTAAAGTGGGTGAGGACTTAAAGCTTCTTGTATTGGTTATGTCTGGAGCTGTGATTGCTTCAGCTGTAATGCTGCAG